CCTTAGTTAGCTCTTTGGAACTTGATAAAATCATGCAAGATTTTCGAGACACCAATAAGTGGAGACAAATTAAGCAAATAATTCACTGCTACAGAGATATGAGTGAAACCCAACTGATCACACTGAAAGATTTTTTAGGTTTATGTTAACTTCCAATTCTGGAAGAAATCAAGTATTCGACTAACGATTAAATGTAAGGAGTAAGGTTGAATTTTTGTATGATACAAATAGTTCAAGTTCTACTGGGACAATGTTGGATTGTTCAAGCAAATGCAAGTCTAAATGAAATGCAATTCAGTTATATTATACTTATAATTGAATTAGGTAATTGCCGGAGATATCTATATATGCTTCGATAAATCCTTATGTACAAATATTAGATCTTTTTTCATTAAAATTTTTATCAATCAGGGCAGCTACAACAATATTCAATCTTACAGGAGAAAGCAATGGATCATTATAAGATCTATTCACTAGAAACTCATGATAAGATCACCAATTTCTTCTGCAATAGTTGTTCTTTAATGCTATATTGCTTTGAAAAAATGAAAAAAACAAAAACAAAAGCACAAGATACATTTGCTTTTATATTTGGCTATGGAGTTATGAAGGATATCTGCCTGACAAAGCCTGCTGGTAATCAATCTGTACAACTTTTGCTGGGGTGCAAAGAATAGAAAAACTACAGTGTTGAGTGTTTCTTTTCTACTGCCTCTTTTAAGTTTTCGTCTCAATGCAAATGCCAAGGGCGGGGGCACAACATTTCCAATATGCCTATGCTTGTGTTGGATGTTGCCTGCAAATTTGTAGCTATACGAGAAACCCTGCACGAACAAGAAGATCAAGGAACGTTCAATGATAGCCATTGGCAAAATAGCAAAGAACAATAATCCAATGACTTCGCTAATGAGCTGGTGCTGCAAATAACTCATCTTGATATTGAGAAGTTACTGCAGAACTCATGGTGTGTTTGGAACATCAGAAAGTTGAGTAGACTTACTTGTGAACGACCACATTTGCGTACAAGTATTCTGTCCTGATCCAGGTAAATTCACATTCAAATTTTGCCCATCTGTTGAGGATCGATCAGTAATGGAGGTTGGAAAGTGTCCTCATGGCACTTCTATTGGTTTTTGAAGGTAATGTGGGTGCATTACCTTTTCTAATTCCCTTGTTTTGAGTATCTGTGATGGTGTTGGAGCAGTCTCTAATTCTTAATCTTTCTGGATTTTAGTACAGCAGTGCATCATATAGCCAATTATCTAAACTGCAGTTACAACTTCAATCTCTGATGGAGACCTTGAGTGCAACAGAACCTCACTACATCAGATGTGTAAAGCCAAATAATGTTCTAAAGCCTGCTATTTTTGAGAATTTCAATGTCATTCAACAATTACGCTGTGGTGTGAGTATATTGTGCTTAATGCATGCCTTCAGCTGCTTTATAATAACCTGTCAAACCTTTTATGAGACTTTAGTTTAATTTTGCTTGTTCAAATTTATAGCTTTTCTCATCTCTTAAAGTAAATTGGCTTTCCCTTATACCTTTTAGGGTCTTCTTAAGGCAATTAGGATCAGTTGTGTGGGTTATCCTACCAGGCGTAACTTTTATGAGTTCCTGAATTGTTTCGGTTTACTTAGTCCTGAAGTTTTGAATATGCATAGCAGCCATCAGACGTGAATTTGCATTAGAATCAACAAATTTCAGATAATTTTGTATGCAGAGTTCAATTCGAACACCCAATTCCTATCAAACCAGAAAAATGATACACATATAAACTCATAATTTTGTATGTAGATTTCGTATTCATAATATTATTCTGAATGAAAACATCATTGAAATCAGAGGTCATATGCGTCCAGTAACATTATCAAGCCAGACATAAAAAAAAGGGTAACATTTACCAAATCTTTAGTATCACAATTTATATATTATCCCTAATTTCATATAAAATTTTGCAAGTATGGATGCATTGCTCATTATAGGACTAATTGTTGGCAATGTTACATCCACACTAGCCAAGACATCATTAGCTCCTTCGCGCACTCCATCCTTTTTCGCAGCCCTTTTCTTAGATCTTCCTAAAACAAATTAACAATAGGTTACGTTTATCTTACAAAGGTGTGATTACATCTTAATGTAGTTTACCTTTTAATGAAGAGCACAAAAGAATTATGGTATGTTTACCATTGTTTCCAAATTTTTTCTTGTCTCTTTGTTGTCGCTGTTGCTTCTTCTGCTGATGTTGTATCCTCCACCTCCTCTCCTCCTCTCCTCCTCTTTTCTTGCACTATATTCACTGTTGCTCTCATTATCAGAAACATCAACACCAACAATGTCATCCTCCTCCATCTTCACCTTTTTGTCCATACTGATAGAATCACCAGATTCTATCTTCTCACACACAGATCTCTCAAAAATCATAACATTGAATTTATGATCGACATCATAGTTAAAAACTAAAAAATCCCCATGCTCCACACAATTATCTTTGACATAATTTTGTCAACTATGTTAAATAAATACCTCATTACAAATATATCCCAGACTCACAGGCCATAACTTTTTCATCTTATATATTCTGGATCACAACAGCAATTGGAAATCCATTGAAGTGTTCGACAAAAGCATCCAAGATTTTCTACCAAGGCTCCAACACCTAGAACAATCTATAGTTAAGTACGTCAATTAACCAAATATGTATGTGTTTAATCTGTAGTTTATACAATAATAGATGCATGAGTGTCAGTCAGTTCGGGTATGTCAACTGGCATAAATATAATCTCATTTGTGACACAGCATGATATCAAAATAATATAAAAAAATGCAAGACAGGACGGAAATGGGTAGTACTTCATCAGGATAGAAGCTGCTATTTAATTCCTATAATCTCTGAGCATTTAAATCAAGGTTGTGTTTTCAAGATGCTTATTAAATGATTGCTAGTTTAGTCAAGCATGATGTACTTTGTAATGGCTGAGGAAATAACACATAATAAACAACGCAATAAATTCATCATTAGTCAAAGTTACGGGAGCATAATGGTCAACTCTACCAGTGTCTTAAAACGCTAAAATATATACCAGATGCAGCTTACTGTTAATTGCTGAAGTTGTAAGAGCAATTCTGATTCCAAATCATTGAATTTAAAGCAAGAAATTATCCTTGTCAACAACTTTTTTACCTGCAAAATTGGTGACAATTATTTCATATTCTTCGCCAACCTTGGCTTCAGTCAAACCCACTGGCTTGGGCTCCAGGCAGAGTACCTGATCCCTCAACATTCTACCCGAGAGGGAGGAATTCAAAATATCCTGTATTAGGAAGCACAGCATAAGTAGCCGACTAAGGAGGCAAACTTGGATTGACATTTGCTCCAATCCAACCTTCGGAAGAACCATAATCAGCACCATGCAGCTCCCCTTCTTAATGCCCCAACTCTTTCAGATACGGCTCCATTGACCCAGTTAATATCCCATAGACATACTTCGCATTAGGAAAAAGTGTTGGAATTAATCCATACCAATTACTCAATCTTGAGCATCTTTTATGAATCAAATCAGCCAATTCAGGATTTGGCTTCAGTATTTTGGACATTGCTGCTCGAATTGAAGGGACAATGACTCGACTTGAGAGGACACCTTCTCTGTATGTCAGCACATAGCTCCTCCCAAACTAGTTCGAATGTCCGAAAGGCATGGACAATACTGTGGGCAAAGGTTGAAGACACAAGTTGAATTTCTTCGCAAAAGATTAGGCCACATAGGAGATGGCAATACAAGGATTGTTGGTAATCAGGACCAAATATTACCTCATCAGGGCTGCAACACTGGGACTGCATTGCCTTCATCCCACTCTTAAATTGTGAATTGCGGTAGACAATTGTAGTAGTAGTTCCTGCACTTAGACTCCCTTTTGTTATGAACTGCCTGCTGCTATATATAAATTGGCTTTCCCATTTCCAATAGGAAACTCTCTGCAGGTCATAAAGTATTTTCATTAATCCAGGGTTGTACTTTCAATCACACAAAATAAGAAACAGGCAGAACTTTTCACGTTTAACAACCCATGGGTGACTAACCCAAAATTAATATAGTTCATCAAAGCACAGTCCATCTCTAGCAAACAACTAAAACACTTTTGTAACACCGGGTTAATCTGTAACTCAGTATGGTTCTAACATGAGAAATTTGAGTTTGAAATTTAGGTTTTCAATCTAAAAGAAAATCAGATCAAATCCCATTCAACGTCTAAGATGGCAAGTAATAAAGTGTTATTTTTGGTCATGATCATCCATGCCTATGCTTTGTCATTTGGTCTCAGTCTCACCACGCTTATAGCATTACTCAAGTATTTTTAGGGTTCAAACAGAAGAATGTAGATGATACTTGGTGTGGCAGACTGTAAAATGACAGCTATTTTGAACAATTGCTACAAAAACAAAAAATTGAAGATGAAATTACCAGCTTCTTGGCTTCAAGGGTTGCTAGAAGGACGACTTTGAAGAACTGTGTTGGCTTCGTCTTCACAGGCTTGGACATGGAGATCTGTGTTCAATCGGTGAAAAACTAAACTTGACTGGAGATATCCCTGCTGGGAAGAACTATAGAGGATCCCGGATGCTTTTGTCGAACACTTCAATGGATTTCCAATCGCTGTTATGATCTATGGGGAAGTTGTGGCGAGTCTGGAATATAATTTGTAATGAGGTATTTTTTCAACATGGTTGGAAAATTTTTGTCAAAGATAATTGTGTGAAGTGTGGGGATTTTTTAGTTCTTAATTATGATGGTGATCATAAATGTGACGCTATGATTTTCAGGAGATCTGCGTGTGAGAAGATAGAATCCGATGATTCTATGGGCATGAACAAAGAGGTGAAGATGGAGGAGGATGACATTATTGGTGTTGATGTTTCTAATGATTAGAACAACAGTGAATCTCATGAAGAAGATAGTGATGACAGACTGGCACACAAGGCGGTCCCTTGTAATTGGCCTCAGATTGCCATGCCTGTGTGGGATTGTTCTTCTCTATTGCTCTTTCCTGTATACAACAAAGATGAACCAACAACAATGTGAGACAAGTGTGGAAGCTGTACATCAACAAGAAACATAATTAAAAAATACAAAATGGACTCCATATTCGGTCAAGCATTAAAGTTCATATCTATCACGATCAAACGGCTAATGAATAGACAGTGGAATTACCTGATAGACTGGAAAGGAAGGGGAACATCCACCACTGCAGGTAGGAGGGTTCCCAGACACCTTAACAGTCCTCAAGCGAATGAAAAGGAGCAATTCCCAAATTCAGCTCAAGATTCTCATTCACCACTGTTTGAGAAATCATTAAGAGTTCACATTAAAGTCTTAGTAACACACAATTAAAGATAAATTATTAACCATTTAATACCAGTAATACCAGTGCCAGTGTCAACAGTCATCTCTTCCTCATACAAGCTTGGTGAAAATTTGGTGACCGCATCATTTTCATTGAATTTCAAGGCTGCCCTGTTTTAAGCCCTGATTTCTAAAGTAATAAAACATCAGATTTACAAGAAAATAAAATTTAGACATAAACCATAAGGAGAAGTTGATTTCAAAATCATCTAGACCTCGCCGCTTCAATCTGGGTGTCGAACAGCCGAAGATATACATACCCACAAAGCAAGAGATGATTTCCATGTTCTTAGTTCATTTCACAACTTTAAAGCAAGTGAAAATAAATTGAAATGACTTCCAAATATTATCAAAACAGAATAATAAATTAAGAATAACTAGAGAAATGCATCAACAAGAGTAGATTAGAGTAAAGAGTATTTACTTCCTGCCCAAAAACTGCCCCATTCGAGTTTCCCATGGCCCACATTTGTGCAGGGTTTGTGAGTGTAGTATTACTACTTATTTATATAACTTTCTTAACACACTCGTTTTCTCTACTTTTGTTAGCACCTTGATCTCTGACGTCGATCAGCTGATAAGCCCCATACCTCCAATTGCAATACTCATCTAATTTCAATGTCAAAATTTTGTTGTTGTGTTAATCTGTTTAATTTATCCTGGCCCTGGGTATTATTGTGATTGTTTTGTGCTTATGTGAGTTTGAAAAGATTAGATAGAAATAATGCGTTAAGTCTTTGAATTTGTATATCCAGAAAAGAAGAAAAACTTCATCAATTGAACTTGTAATTGTGCATATGAGATTGAATATAGACTAATTTTGTTATCGAGAAAAGAAGAAAAAGCATTATCATTTCAAGTTCTAGTTACACATACGTTTATGAGATTGGCAATTTTTCATTTGTTCATTATGTTTTCTGAATATAAATTAATTTTAAAGTTACATATGACGGGCAAAGATATTATAGTGAAGATGGAAGTGATGATTTTTTCCCCCAGATGATCGACAATGATCAGAATCAGGAGCTTGAAGCTACCAAGAAGAAGAACGCTGAGAGCAGGGACCTGATTTTCAATCTGGCCATGCTCTACGCAAAGGAGTACACAGAGCAGGTTCTCATTGCATTCTTTCTCACTATTATTTGTTTGATTTCTCCATTATGAGTTTTTTTTTTTTTTAGTGATTGAGATTCTTTTGATTATACAAGGAAAAGAGCTAATCGAATTGAAACGTGAAGCTAAATTGAGGGTAGGGTTCTATGTTGACCCAGAAACTAAGATCCGTTTGGTTTACTATTTTGACAATTTTTAGAATAGTTTTTTGAAAAAAAGTTGAGTTGAGTAATATTCTGAAAAGTTTTTTGTACATTTTTTAATAGCTTTTTCTGAAAATATTTAGATTATTTTTAACCTCTTAGGTTTGTTAATTTAACCAAACACCCCCAACATTAAAAGTTTATAGATTGACAAACACTCCCGTCCATCCACATTTCCCAGATTTTGGTTACCACTGTCAAAAGGTTGTTGAAATCTACCGACTAGTTCTGGCTAGTAGTGTGCCGATCTAGCATTTCTCAGCTAGATTCATCGTAGATCTGACCGAAAAAGACTAGATTTACAATCACAGATCTAGCTGTTGATGATCAAATCCACTATTATAATTCATTGATGATATAGTCTATCTCAAAAATATTAGTCTTGATAGATGTCTGGTGATACAATCAATGGCAATAAAGAGTTTTTGTTATATATATATATATATAGATAGATAGATAGAGAGGACTTAATGGGACACCTTATCTCAAATAGGACTAAGAACCATAACAAGAAAATAGAAACAATACAAAATGTATGAATTACAGAACATTAATAGAGAAGCATGAATTATTCAATAAAAACGAAGAGAGAAACATAAAAATTGAGAGATGAAGCCGGTAGTATGACTGATAATGTTTATTGACTGAAAATTATGAACAAACGTCATACATTCACATCTCTTTTTCAAAGTGATGTGATATTTTATTTTATAATAATTTAATATCAACCCACACCATCTCATAACTGTCATATCTGATGGAAACATGTCTTTTATTATTTCAATGGTTTTGACTAAGATGGACTGGTAGTTTAATACCCTAAAACAGAAGATTCCAAAAAATCTTAATATTTAAGAATATTGTTTTAAAGACACCATCTCACAAATCCACCTAAATCATTGGGGAACTTACCTAAAATAGAACAACATTTCAATGGTTTATTTGCATAAGTAGAACATGTTTTATTTATATTTATAGTACCTGATCCACGCCATCCAACTATTAACAAAAGAAGAACAATAACAACTCAAACTAGCTGATCTTCATAACATTAATTCAGGAATTTTAAACTGAGAACTCATATGAGAACTTAACCAACAGATTACGCCACCGCTACTCAAGCTTCACGTACATATTTCCCAAATATTATGATCCCTTTCTTCACTTCAATTGTGTACTTCACTCGACCAGCTTCATCTTGCTGCTGATAAAGAATGACTTTATCCCGAACTTTAAGACCTTTATTGGCAACAAAATTAATCCAATCACCAGTTATCGCGCGCTTTGGATGTTTACCTTTGTTTCGAGTGGCCAAACGAAACTCGTATTGCTTTTGGTCTGAGTCCATCACCATAAATTGAACACATTTAACATGTTCTTCTTCAGGGAAGAAATGATGAAAGGCTTCCATTGGCAAAACCAATCTATTCTTTGTGTCAGTGGTAGATAAAACCTTTGAGAAGATCAACTCCGCCATCAGTAATTAACATAAATTAATCAGATAGGTGATATTTTTATTCGGTTCTTTGGCCTTTTTATAGACAGTTTGCTGAACTAAATACATGTATATCGCCGATTAACATCAAATCGTCTTTACCCTACCACTTAAAAGTGTGTGTGTTTTATGTAATTGAAACAATCAACTTTTGCTAGAACAAAAAATTCAACAAAAGCTGACAATTGACAAAAAGTTCTTGTTTGAAAACTAAACAAAAAAAACAAAATTAAGCTTGTAAAAGGTTTCTAATGATCTATGGAATAAGAAATGAGAATGTTTGGTCGCTCATTGGTCGATACAGAAGATTGTCAACGGTAATGCCAGATAAATTAAGGTTTTGCACGTTTCCAACTTGTACTGTTTATTATTAAATTAAGGTACAAGCACCATTGATCATTTTGTTTGTTTACTGGAATCCGGAACATTAATGCATGGTCACTTCATTTGACTGGTGATAGAAAAAGCTCTACCATTTGCATACCACACTTCTGTTTGAACTACTAAGTGATGAAGTTCGTTTATTATATTTCATTTTTAGTCTTTGTTTCTTCTGTCTTGAAGAAGTTCCAAAAGTGAGAAACAAGTGAATTTAATTGAAGTGTTTTAGTCAATCTTTATTGTTTCTTTCTAGTGTGGGCCATGGAATCAACCATTGATTATTTAGATTCTATTAGTTGGAATTAACATTTATCATCTAATTAGAAAACTTGTTTCCGTAGAATAAATATTAAAACAAAACCATNTTTTAAATAGAAATTAAAAAAATAATAAAGAAAGAAAGAAACTGATAGTTAACTAAAAGTCAACACGCACATATACATAAATAGAACAGAACCAAACTGGTAAAACGTAATACAGGAGCTTCGAAAACTAATCTGAGAAAAGGAAGACGTAATATAGAGTAACAAATTGTGGAAAAAAATACAAAAAAAGATTGAGAAACAACAGTACCTGGGACAGTAGCGCGAGACTGAGAGGTAGAATGAAGAAGGTGAAGTGAAGGGATACAGAAGTAACGAATTGTACAGAAAGAAGAGAAAGAGAAACTGAAATCAGAACGGAGTTCAGTGAAGGGCGTTACGAATTCACCGATTTCCACGCTTTCACTCTGTCTTTTCTCTGAAAAAAAAAAATTGACCAAAAATGATGAGAGACTGACTGGCTGAGTAGCTTTAAATAATATTATTTTAGTAATTGCCCAATGGCTGTTCCTTTGGCTTTGGTGGCGAATGGGGATATGATGAGCGAAGATTCTTTTGGCTCAAGCATTATATAAGCGTTACAAAATGCCGTCCACTTTTTGCCATTCATATATTTTTTTATATTCACTTCTGAAATACCAGTTTTGCCCATATATTGTTGCTAAAATGACATAAACCTTTCTAGGTTGGAAGTTTATGTGACTGAAATGACAATTATAGCCCTGCTTTATATTGTCTAAAATTAGACTTTTAGATGTGGATTTATCGCTGGGATGCAAAAAGGGAAGTTGAAAAGATTTTATTAAAGCCAGATTTGCCGTGGGGTCCTTCAAGTAAAGGGCTAGATTCTGGAAAATTTCCACTGTTTTGCTTTTTATTTTCTAGATTCCTTTCTTTTTATCTAATTCTTTATTTTATTGTCCAGATAAATAATTTTTTTACTTATTTCAGTGCACTAAGTACAGTATTAAATTTATTATATTTATAGTATCCTTATTATAGTAAAATCTCTTTATAAACATAATTATGAGATTAATTAATTTTATTACTATAAACAGGTTATAATTTAATAGAAGTGTAGTTACAAAAATTTCTTATTTTATAATTCACGTTTTAGTAGTACAGTATTAGGATTTCAGTTCATGTTTTAATAATATTAAGATTTCAATTGAACACTTCAATTGCCTATTTTTTAAAACAAATAGAAGATTGTGTCTTAGAATCAGCGAAGATAAGTGTCCTTGATGGAATAGTAAATACAGTTACTGCATGGTTAAATTGATGTGAGGCCACAGACAATTGTCAATTGTTTTAAGCATTATAAAATTAAGACTCCTGATATCGATGAATTGCAAGTTATAAATAAAGTGGATGAGAAGAATCAAATAATCATTGTAGAATTGAGTGATCAAATTTGACAACTTTACTACACTAATTGAATGGATATTAAAGTATTCATCAATCATTCAAATAAACAATAAGTCATGTAAGCTTTAACTAAAGAATAAATCTTTGTTACAATTACACAAGAAGAGAAAGAAAATAATCATGAGAATAATAGTACGAAAATACAAAAAATTTTGTAACAATAAGCTCCAAACATGCTTGAGAAGCTATAAATATTTTAGCTTCAACAAGAAAATATTCATGCTAGCGAGTAATGTATCTGCAAGTTAAAAGATGTGGTAACAACTCTAAAGCATAAATCATTCTCCTAAATAATTTTAAATAAATATTTTATTTTATCTTAAACCTTTAATATAACAAATAATTTTTTTTTTTTGTAATATGCACATAATTATTACTATATAGAGACAATTTTCTTTAAGATAGGAATTAAAAAAATTATAACTTATTATAATATGGAATTTATTTTTATTTATAACCATCACAAGTTGGGAATATAATTTTTTATGACTATATAGAATTTATTCTTATATAAAATATTACTATAGAGAGATTTTCCTGTTAACGTGTTTAAGTAAATCAAACATATAATAATCTTATAATTGAATTAAGCTGTGAGATAACATTTTTTATTTATTATATTTACTTTAAAAAGGCCCAATAAACTATTATGCGTCACAATTAATTTTAATTAATTTTTGAGATAAATACAGTTTTTAATTCAATTTTACAATTAACGGAATCTTGGCTTATGCCATATGTTGGAAAATTGCGTCCGAATTTTTAATGTGATTGTGATTCGTAATTCAATTTTACAATTAACGGAATCTTGGCTTATGCCATATGTTGGAAAATTGCGTCCGAATTTTTAATGTGATTGTGATTCGAATTTGATTGGAATTAATGGTGATAATATATATGGTGGGGTAATAAAGAAGGAATACAATCTATCTAAATTTAGGGCATTTTGGAATGGTAGACGTAATGACCATTTTGTTTTATAGCCTGAAAATTAATTTTATTATTAATTCTCCAAGCTACTTTGTTTTCTTCCAACGTTTCAGATCTTGTTTTTATTTCATTGAACATGCTTTCGTCCTTTGAAAGTAAAACAAACTGGGTTTTGGAATGAAATTAAATATATGATTCAATTATATATATATATATATTTGAGAGTGATCAAATCAACTTATACATATCTTAATAAGTTTATCAAGATTCTAAAATTAATGGTCAGATAAATTTTTAGTGATTATCTTTTTTTATTAATAATCGTGAAAATTCGAATAAAAAATCTTTTAAATAATAGGTCTAAATATTTCAAACGAGATAGTTTTTCATGGTTAATCTTGATTAGATTTTATCTTGTTATTCTTGGTTAGATTTTATCTTGTCGAGACTTGAGAGTTGAGAGGGACTTTGATTGGACTTGCCATTATCGGCGTTATTCTCATTGTACATCATCGTATTTGTATAACTGGACCCAGAACCCTTGATATTTTAAAAACTGCGTATGACTTTACTAGAATAGGCTACAAGTCTACAACATCTATGCAACAGGTAAAGATCCACCACAAATTATTACTAATTTATTAAATGGATAAGATATTAACCTTTAATTCCTGGACATGGAAAGAAGCAACACTTACTATACAAGAAGCAACATTATTTTTATCGACTAGTTTATTTTCAGATTCTTTATTGGGTCAATTAATTTAAACTTTGAAATATTAGTACGCTTGATTATTCTCCAAGGGCAGTCATCGTTTACTATACAAGGGCACCGGCAAGGACAAGATTTGATAATTCCACTCTCCCATACATCTAGTTGTCACCTTCCTGGAAAAAGTCAAAAAGGGTAATCCTGTAATTTGATTTCAAGTACTCCTTCTGATTCAGCGGATGACGTGTGATTACTGGAATTTGAATCACGTTGGTTGGAAGTCCACTAAACCAGCCAGACAAAGCGTCTGTTTTCCTTGTACAGTATTAATAGACAATGATATTTGCAGCTAGTGATTTAATTATACATAAAATATTTGTTATGAAAGTGATTTATGATAATTTAACAAACAAAGTCTCTTCTTTGCTTTCTAAGCGATGTTTAAGGTTAAGGATAATGACATATACAATTATTGTTATATAGATCTTATTTTTAAGAGTAAATAACTTTTTCTAATCCGAATAATGGTTTAATAACACTTTTCTATCTATAATTTTTTAAAATACCATTTTATTATCCAAATTTATATCTCGTTTCCGATCCTGACATCGTTGCGACCTCACACCATCACCATTCTCTTTCCCAATCATCACTCACTAAAACCCTTCAAATTCTATTCCTACCAACTTTGTCAATTGCCGACAATTAAGCTATTAAGGTTTGCGCAGTCACCAGACAAAGTCAAATTCTGATCAATCCCAATCACATAAATCTAACTTTTCACCACTAAAAGACTCATCCGTCTCTCTTCTTCAAAATGCCTAACAGTCTGGATCGAGTTTGCTCTATGTTCATTTTCAGAATATAAATTTAAATACTAAAGTGATATTTTAAAAGTCTGTGAGTGGAAAAGTATATTATTTGGGTGGGAAAAAATAAACTTTATCTTTAATCATAACTTAGACATGAACTAAACAGTAATCTCAAGAGAGCATGATTTAAAGATCTATTGTGCAAATGTGATACATGTGTATAAGGTTAATTACGTTAACGTCTCACTGCAACCAAAACACATATTGCGTGACAAGTTTGCTCCAATCAGAACCTAATTTGATAAGTGTATTAATTAACAACTAAACAAACTTTAATTCATTCAAATATTATGAATTTTTCACAATAACGTGAACGTCTGTCTGACTCAATATTGG